AATTTGTCTACCCGACCCGACTTTTCAGGTCGGGTCAGGTCGGGTCACAGGTTGACCTGACCTGATTCGGAGCTCTACTCTTGATATTTTCATTCTTCAATAAATCTAGGTCAATATAACCATTTCTTATTTCGGTTATGTTTGCATATTTCACTTGATTATTCTCGTAAGTTTTAGTGACTAAATTATATTAGAATAGAATTTGAGTTTGATGTGATTTTTTATGATAGAAAAAATCTGCAAAACATAAACCTGGGTATTGATGTGGTAATTTATATAATTTGATATCTTTAATTTGAGGTAAATCAACTTTAACATCTGGAAAACTAAGAGAGAAATTCGCACCCTTAAAAGGGTCTTCAACTTAATCTTCTCATATCCTATTAAACGAAAGAGACTGAGGCATAATGCCCAGAACTTAGTATTAAAATCTTCGAAATTCGGCCAATTCATCAGCTCATCATATTTTAATATGAATTTCCAATACGTCATCCCAGGGTCATTGGAGTTTTTAACAATTGCACATACCCACATATAGGGTAACTGAATAAGGTATTCTCTAGTTTGTTCTATTAGAATCAGGTTCACAATTCCCATTGAACTAAGTTCCTGATATGTCATTGATCTTTCGTTGAGCATGATCGCATCCTCTTTTTTTACCAGAAAACCCAATATGGCCTTAGCAAGAGGTATTGTCAACCATTTTGAGTCTAGCTCAAGATGATATTTATTTACAATCCTGTGTTTGACAGATTCTATGATTTTCTCAATATTCACGTTATAAACAGCTGTTTTTAGTATCTCCTCTTCTGGCATCATTTCTTCTGTTTCTAGTTTTATGCATTCTGTTTCTGTCTCAGATTGTTCTGAAAAAAACTCGTAGTAATATTCCAATGTTCTCACATGTCTTCCAATATCACTAATACTTAATCAAAAATATAGATACAGGTTGATATATTCATCATCAAACAACTTCATTTTCATACCAATTCTGATTGCATTAAATCATTAAGTAAGCGTAGTGGGAGGGAAAGTGGTTCGTGCATAGAACCTGAAATATAATCATTTAAGAGTCTTTCAATCATTCCAGCTAGAATAGGGATGAAAAATATGTTTGCAGGTGGTCCACACATTGACGCTCCAATGGTGTGTATAAGCTTCCTACAGACATTTTGTTTTGAAGATGCAATTTATTGAACTCGTCAATGTCAAGGATCAGGACCAGTAAAGGATTAAGTATCATTGGATTAATTTGCATAAAGTCTTTGTAGATAATTTGAAGAGCAGTGTCCAGGGTAAAATCTGAAATGTCTGAAGAATTATTGTGATGTTGTCTACAGTATGAACGGAAGCTGACAAAATTATAATTCTGAGGAAAATCAGCTTGTTTTGGTTGAAAGTATTCAAATAGAATACGTATTGCGAGAGATACCTATGCTTGAATCTTTTCATCAATATCATCAGCGACGGTTGAATTCCCATAGGTTGTATTGATGGCAATCATATTTGTAAAAGCATTATTATGATATTCTTCAGCTTTTTTCAAGATTAATTCTTCAACTTCGTCTAGAAATCTGCTCTTTCCAACTCCAGGTCCACCCACTATGACAGGAATTGGATGATAACTTTTGTCATTTTCCATATGGAATTGAAATCGTCTCACAATCTCAGATTGCCCTGTATTACCATTCCAGAGGGTTTTAATGGTATCATCTTATTGAAGAAGTTCAAAGTCTTTGCCAAAGCTTCCAACGAGCTGAAAAAGTTAATTTTATTTTAATCAGAGGAACTAAGAAACACATTATTAGAGAGGTGACAAAGCTGAAAAGACATACAGTCAAACCTTGATATGGTGAACCTTTGATATAATGAATTTTTAAATCAAATATATTAAAATTACCTTACTATAGTGAACTAGCCAATTAAATTCTTTAAAAAATTCGTTATAAACTTATAACGAAGTTGATATCCAGATCTTAGAATTCGTTATATTAAGAGTTTACTGTACTTACATTCGTTTTCATTCTTAGTCCAATGTGAATTGTTGTTGTATTCACTCATAGATGGAAGAAGCATTGTTCCAGTTAGATCTTAAAACCATTAATAAGTGAGAGATTTATTAGAAATTTTTTGACATCATTTCAGGCCAATAGTTATTTAGATACTGTACCTTATGGAACACCTTGTTGGGAGGGATCTGCTTTAACACGAAAAAAAAATCAGACCAAACTCGACATTTTGTTACTGCAAATTTCTTGTTCAAGAGGTAAAACATTGGGAGACACTTACTACTGGCGGGATGATGGTGATGATGGAACTTTCAGATTTATTTTTATTATCTAATTCATCTTGAAAATAATTACTAAACAGTTCTTCAAGATCCATTTCGTTTCCTTTAAGTTCGTATATAATGTTTTCTTCAGTAAAAATATTTTGTTTTTTAATATTTTTACTCTTAACACTAATAACTTTCCAAAGTTTCAAATTGCTTTTGTCAGAATCACTAACTTCTTTAATACTACAGACATAGTCCCTGAGGTGTACAACTTCAAGTAGGTCTAAAAAGTATTTTGTTTCATTAAGTTTAACGTAACCATTTTTATCCTTATTATCTTTGTAAATGTTAACCACATGGACTTCAGGATCATTGCTTAAAAGTATGTAAAGTTTGAATGACATATCCATTTTGATAATATTTCTATAAAAAGTTATAAAAGCAAGTTTTAGTTTGAAGTTTTTTTTGGAGAGTTTTTTTGAAGGGTATTATATATATACTTTTCTGTGACCATTGTAACTAGATTCTTGATAAACTTTTTGTGGCTTGTTTTTATGTAATATAGTAAATAATATAGATACTCCGACAAGCATAGTAAAATTGTAATTTATTAGTTCACGAAAAAAATAATTAATACGGTTTTATCATTACTCATTAGATTTTGATTCTCCGACAAATTCTTAGTATTTTAACGAAAAAAAGATTGAATATTTGCTGTGCTACCTTTCTTACTAATTCTTACTAATCTTTTGCCAAATTTTACCAAATTTGTAATTTCGTTCGTTAATTTTGCTTAGTTTATCGATCATGTGAAATGTCACATAATCTGTATTTAATAATTACGATACGATAATTAACAGCAGTGTTAGTATTTTAGTTTTTATGATTTTATGACTACTGGTTATATGACTGGTTATTTGATCATAAAAAGTTATTTATTTTTTATTTTTTTATGACCTTTTTATGACATATAATTATATTTAATTTTATAATAATAAATAAAAATGGTTTTTAAATTCAACTAAAATCATTATATATATATTTAATTTAAATAATATTTTATTATTTAATATAGAATTTAAAACTAAAATATTATTTACTATTTATATTTTTTAATATAATAATC